GATGGAGGCATGCCGTCGAAGAATTTGGGTTTGCGGGGCTTTCAATTCTTCGCGGGCTTTGGGCCAAGGGTCTTTTGACTGTGAGGGTTTCTACGACTTGCTCAGCGGTTTTCGGGTTTCCGAAGGCTTGAAGCCTGAACGCCGAAATTTGCGAATCTGGCGGCCACGACGAGGATGCAGCCGTCCTGCCGGACACATACAGGCGAGCTGGTGCATGCGGGAATGCTGTAGACCCTGCAGTTTGGGATTTAGGGCTCTAGGGTTCAAGGCTTCAGACGTTTGATAGAAGGACCTGAAGGTATAAGAAGAACGCAACTCGCATGCGCCATGAGAATTTGAAAAGACCGATCTGCCGAAAGAGCCTCAAGGCGAGGGGTTACTGTCCATCCTTCTTTTGCGCTGAAACGCCCTAAACCCTAAGCCCTAAACCCTACGCCCTAAACCCTAAACCCTAAATCAGGATCACAGACGAGCTTTTGCCTTGGGACATGCCCAAGCATGCTGCAGGAAGGTGTGTGTTCGGGTGAGCAAACTCCCCAGAAGCTCTCAAGCCTCGGGGAGAACCACAGAAAGCCCAGAAAGCCAACAGTGCATGATCTGAACAACATAGTCCCTGTAAGTAGAAACTGCCTGTTGACCCTGATCATACACAAGTTTGCAAGCACAAACTTCTGTACTTCCATCTGCCCTCAGCCCTAAATCGATCGAGACCTCTTGAACCAAACAGCAAACCCAACCCCGTCAACCGCCACCTCCACCCTTCACAACAAATGGAACAAAACGTCTAGAACCAGAAAGGGGCATTGGACACATGCCCCAACCCCTACAACCTATAAGCCCTACAGCCACCCCACACAACCCTATGACCCTATGAAGACAAGCACATAATCAGTCTCTCAACACAGCACCCCTGAAAAAACAAGAACAACACATGCGTGGTCTCCGCATGGGGGTTTCCGAAAATAGGGGACCCTAATATAGTACCCTGAATAGTAGGATCCTTATTATAAGGACCCCGAATAATAAGGTACCCTAAACCCTAAACCCTTAATAGTAGGATCCTTATTAGAAGGACCCCGAAAATAAGGTAACCCCATATTCGGAAAGTCCCACATGCAGGAGACCTCGCGGGCTGCGAGCTTCCGGGCCAAACGTTCTGCCCGACCTTTGTTCCAAAAATGCGGGGAGTTTAAAGGCTACGGGTTTAATGCAGGGTTTCGGAGTTTAGGGTTCCAGGCTCCAGGTGAAGGGCAGGGTTTAGGGTTTAGGGCTTTTTTTCCCCTCTCGCATGGCTGAGGGTTTAGGGTCGAGGGTTTAGGGTGGTTTATACAGGGTTTAGGGCTTGTGCGAAGGGTTAAAGGGTTGAATACAGGGTCTCAGCCCCCAGACTCGGACAAGTCTGGGCCGGTTCCAGGTTAGGGAAGCGTTAGCGGTTTAGGGTTTAGGGTTTAGGGTTTGGTTTAATACAGGGTTTTCGACTCGCACACCCTGACAAGGCAGGCACGGAATCCGGTCAAATCAGGCTTTAGTGTTCCGGGATAAGGGGTTTAATGCAATGTTGGTTTTTGTTGAAGGGGTAGGGAGCGGAGGGTATATAAGGATCATGACCGGCTGCTAATTTCTAAATCTGGGTTTGCCAGGTCTCAATGCTGGCTGGCATGCTGCTGAAAGTCACCACAAGTCTCTGTAGCGACAGGGTTGGAGTCAAATCTTGCGGCCCTCCTAGCTTGGCGGAGACCAGGTGTCGAGGCTTTAGCATTCAAGGATTCAGGGTTGTCCCGGTTTTGGATACATGTCTCTGCCGCTGCGCCGACTTCGTAATGGATGAGTGGTCAGCTGGCCTCTTCTTCGGCTTGAGGGCTCCACCCAAGAACAGACACGGCTCTCTGCTAAGCACCAAGGACTCGTTTGGGGATGCAGGCTGCAGGTTAGGTATGGTTGGCTCATTGTAGTTCCACTGTGACATTCCCTAGCGAGGTTAAATGCCTGGGCCCCACTGAACACCGAACCCTAAACCCAAGCGCGTGGCTAGGGCATTCGGGCCAAGCCATTCAGCCGAGCATGGAAACCCGGAAAGAGCCACTTAAGTCTGTAGGAAATTGGTACTCGCAGACACCCTGTTGGTGTGCAGCTTCCATCGGAAGGCACTGATCCCTGCCATAAACAGTGGATGTATGTATGCAGAAGCGTCCACAAGCATTCCTAGAAGCCTCAACATGTCGATCTTCGGTGAGTTTAGGGTTTCGGGTTTAAGGTTTAGGGAACCATGGCCAAAATAGTCCGAGCCCTCCCAGAGCTCCTAGACCTAGATCAGCAAAGCGCCAAACCTGAAACCCTGAACCCAAAGAAACCTCAACCCTAAACTCTTAACCGTCTTAACCCTAAACTCTAATTAAACTCTTAACCCTAAACTCTAAACCCTAAATCCTGAACTCTAAACCGAACCCCAAGCTCTTAACTCTAAACTCTAAACGTAAACCCTAAATCCTAAACTCTAGACTCCGGCTCTAAACCCTAAACCCTTGAAACCTCTGAGGCCTTGCTGCCGAGTCGCACCAGCCACGTTCCGCCCAGGTCGCTTCACTCAGGACGAAGCCCTGGCAACAAAAAACGGGTTATGAACTCCGCGGCCTTCGGATGCCGGTCTTGAAGCAGGGGGTTGGTATTTGATGTTTCGGTCCGTTAAGAAAGGGGTTGGTATTTAATTTCAGGGCCTCTAAGAAGGTTTCGGCTCTCTTGTCAAAAGCTGTAAATCCAAAAACTCTTTAAAAACTCTTAAACTGCAAACCCTCAAAGCCCAATCTGCAAATCCTCGACTTCCGAAAGGCTTGAGACCCTAAGAGGTTGTAAAGCCCCGCAACACGTGCAAAGGACGCCTTACAGCATCCATACTATTATAACCCTGTTTTGCAGGAACTGCGATCTTATGAGCCTCGTTCCAGAGCGTTTGGCTGCATTCACTGTTTCAAATGTACACGATGTGCAAGCGCCACGTATGCTTTCTTTCCGAAATATTGAAAACTTCGTGCTTGTGTAAGTACGGATGTATGCCTGTAATTACTTGGATGCATGTAATATGTGCTAGGTCCTAGTTTAAATATCTCGCCAAGGAAAAACGCAAGGCGAAAGCAGGTTTGTCGCCTGATCCTTGTGTGGCAGGTTCGGGCAAAGGACGACGAAGTACCTAGGCGGGTACTCGGGTATGGGAATTTTAGAATTTAGGGCTGGTGCAAACCAGCCTGGTCTCGAATTGCAGCTACATAGATCCACGGAGCAGTTCCTCGAAGCAATATGCGGAGGCCGCAGATGTTGGGTCGAAAGGAAGCCGGTTTAGCAGTTCGACAACCTGCGCATTCCGTACCTGTGCCCTCAGGCACGCTCGACTAAAATGAACCCTAAACCTGTTGCCAGTTCAATGGCTCCGATGTACCGGGCCAGCCCCAGACTTATCACTCTACGGTACTGTCGGCATGCAGGTCACGAACATGGCTGCTTGCAACTGCGGAAGATGATTGCCGAAAGATTTGACATGAAATTCCTCGCAAAACAAGTCCAGACAACATGCGTAATTGCACTCCTTGCAGAGATCTTGCATGCAAAGCCGGTGTGTAAGCTCCAGACCCCTGTACGCCCTCCCCATTGGTCCGGGCGGCGGGGGTCCGCCAGCCAAAAAAGTCCTTAATTAAATCCTTGCCTCTCAAGCCTACATGAATTCTGCCCAGGTGCACGCAGCGCTCGATATAAGACACGATGCTGTCAATGGCTCGCTTCTGATGCTCTTGGCCATGTGAATCCGCAGCTTGCGGGCACGACACGTAGTCGTACCTGAAGTTTACGGGTGTACGGTTTCAGGCTGTGTAGATGCTATCGCACGTAGAACCCTCCGGAAGCACGTCAAAACGGATTTGCAACACCGAGCAACCGAGCGGTTTGTACAAGTAAATTCTCCAACCGACAAGCCTCATAGAGCACCCAAACCGATCTGCTTCTGATGAGCTGAAGAAGAGCAAGAGAATCATGTTTTCATGTCGGGTAGAAGGACCGTAAATATGGTTGCCCAGGCACAAGCAACAAGAACAGAACATCCGCAAACACGGCACCCTAACATCCTTAAACCCTTTTTGCAATAACTCCTAAACTACCCTTAACTATGACTACACATGTATCCCTAGTCGTACCGGCGGGCCGGGCCGAAGTGGGGGCCACAAAGAAAACCAAAACAAATGGAGCGGAGCCTCGGGAACAGCAGCCGTTGGGTTTGGGGGGTTCACGGTTTGTCATCACCACATGGGCAGTTCTCTACATTAGGGTCCCTTTGGGGGTCCCATTATAAGGGTGCCGTACTATATTGGGGACCTAAAAAAGGGACCCTAATGTAGAGAATTGCCCACATGACAATGGTCGCGGTCATGTTCTTATGATGATGAGCACTATCGTCCTGGCCACGAGCATCATCAATGAGCTTTGAACCCATACTCGAACCTCGCGAACCTCTTGCCCACCAAGTGTCCAAATGAACAGTGGCTTGGATTGGAAGTCCTGGGATGCACAGCGGCAGTTACTTCGACCTAGACTACTATGTAGTTGCTCGTATGGAGTTTGGATGCTTGTTCCCGGGTAATTTGAGGATGTTAGCCGGAACACTAGTTGTTACAATGCCCCTAAACCCCGCACCAAATCCCACAACCTGAACCCTAGATTAGATGCGCCAAATGCAGGAATTGGCAGATTAAACAGAATGGTCGGAATAGAGCACATACGGCCTCGACGTCGAACCCCACTCGGACTTGAAGCGGACAAGCTTCGACCCTTCCATGTGGATGATCGGACGGCCAACAGAAGGCGTTGATGATTTATCAGTTTACGCTTTCGCTTGAAACTCCTCAAGCAGCTGGCCTTCTTATAACCGTGCCAAACCTTCCAGCGCACCATATCTACTTGTCACTGGCCTCGCGCGAGAGGGTGGAATGCCGGCCGTAGAAATACTCGCTTTGGATTGGGAGTGTCACGAGGCTCCTGTCCAGGCTTCCAAGCTTCTAAAATCCATCCGTTCTGCTCCGGATTTCGGATATGTTCAAGTGCTCCGCCTAAACCCTAAACCCACAACTTACAGGATCCGAGCTTCCCTTGTGGATAAGCTTTGGACTGCGGCAGAACACCCCCCAGGTTCCTCATTGGGCGGTCAAACGAAACTTGTCCCTGTGGGAAATAACCTCAAACGCGGCATCAATGCGGGCCTCACTATTCCGCTTGATGATCGCTTTTTTACGCAAAAACACGACATCAACCAAGAACCCCGTGGCCTACACTCGCCTACAATGTTGATTGAACGCCTGGTAGCAACAGGTATGCAGGAACAATTGTTCGCAGTGTTTGTCATTCAACTCCAGAGCAATGGCAATCCAGTTGTCGACTAAACGAAGAAACGTTCCAAATACCGTATGCCCAAACAACCACCTGCACAACTGCCAGCGCGCCTTCCAGAATAGAGGTTGCGTATCGCTTCTTGAAGCACCTCGGAGAAGAAATGCTTGCATTCAGAATGCGAAACGGCCTTGCAATATTTTCTTCCTAAGCACGGGTGTCCGGGGCAATCCAAACATTTGTGGTTCTGGAAACGGGATCACGGGGCAGTGTGAAACATCACATTTCTTTATGTGATTCAATATTGCAAAGCTGCAATCAAGCCCGGAACCCTGGGCGTAGAAGTTTCTCATCCTTGAAACGTTCTGCCTAGTCTCGCGAGCACAACACGGGCGAGCCACAACCGAAGTTCGCCGATCCGATTTTCAGGAATCAACACAAATCACCGGTGGCGAGTGCATGTGTCGCACTCTGCAATCACTGCTGCAAAAGTTTTCCGGCACAGTCGATTGAACCGCAACCTGAAAAGTCGAAAGCTGGGAGTGGAACACCCTTGGAACCCAAACCTGCGTCTGTTTTGCGAGGCGCGCAAATTTAGGCCGTTTTGTTTGGATTGTCCGGGGCGCCTTCCATTGCTGAGCTTCAGGGTCTGGATGCTCATTGGCGAGCCACTGATGCGAGATGAACATCGCCCTGACATCCCATAGGCTGCTTGGTTAGGGGCTTTGAATCGCTGGGCTAGAAGTTATACCCCCCGGCGACAACAAAGTTGATCAAAAGCCACCCAGACGTGGCAAGGAACAGAAACCCGCTTGTCACAGCGACGGCAAGTATTCAGCGAATGCACACCCTCGGGAACCGAACCATGTCATCCCAAGCTTAACAAGCGAACCCATCAAGCCCTACAGGGAAAATCGGTTTATTCGCGCTGCAGCCGAAAGGGCAACCCAACTTTTGGATACTGAGGCTCCTTCTCAAATTGCCGTACGAAATCCCGTGCAGTCACTGGGTTTGCGACTCTGACAAGTGGGGCCATCCGGGCATGGGTATTAGGCCCAAACCAAACCTTGGTCAAACAACTGGCTAGGACTGAGCCTAGCAGCCGCTCAGGAGACACGATTGAAACAACACCCCTGCCTACCCAAGACTTCCTCGAACTCCACCAGGCTCCCTTGATTCAGGAGCTCCTCGCCAGAACACGAAAACGCACTTCGCGGGTTTCAAACGAAAAGATGTTGCTGTGACTGGGGTACCCCCAAGCTTGAAAAATCGGTGTGTGCGACATGCTGATCCATCACTTCCTCGCTCGATCGTGCACAGCTCAAACATCTGATCAGTGGTTAAAATCCAAGCCCGATCCTCATGTGGTCGCACTGCGGTCATGCGGAGAAGCGTATCCATGGGCAGCGTATACATTGGGTACGCCTCAGCATCTTGCAACAATCCTAGGCCACGGCAGGACCAACAACTAAAACATCATGCCAAATTGCTGCAGTTTACTGCAGTGCCATTTGCGAAAAACCCGCACAAAACAACGAGCACATGCTTTACCCACATCCGACTTAATATCGTTTCTGAACATAAAGAATATCTACCACAACACAACAATTCACAAAGCCTGAAAGTTGCTTGCCGGGCCAAGTGCCAAGTTCTCAACCAACGTTGGCGCAGACTCGGAAAGCATCGACAAGCTCCTTGGTAGTGTCAAATTTGTTTTTTTGATGCATGTAGAAGCCCCGGAACCTAGGCTAGGGTAGGCTTTGGGGAACGGGACAGCGTGGGGGTAGGCCTGGAGCGAGGGCCGAGAACTACAAAATACTGTTATGACCATGACTAATACGATGGCAAATGCTAAAACAATAACTATTTTAAAAATATTTTTTTCTCCATTATTAAAATTAATTTCACAACGATCACGAATTAATACTAGGGATATGACTCTTTCTATTACTATTGGTATTCAGATTAATATGTATTATTGTTATTGCCATCGCATCTGACTGTTCCACTGCCTGCGCCTTAGAAGAGCTGCCTTCGGGCATCAGGCTTGACGTTAACTTTGACTTATTGGCATTAGTACTAACAGCATTATTTCGATTATTATTATTATTACACGTGTACTATTCCAAATCTTCTTATTACCACCACCGCTACTACTACTACTACTACTCCTCCTCCTCCTCCTACTACTACTACTACTACCACTACTACCATTACTACCACGACCACCACTACCACTACTACCACTACCACTACCACTACCACTACCACCACCACTACCACTACTACTACCACCACCACAACAACGACAACAATCGCTTACACAGAAAGAATGCATAGATCCCTGACGATCGCGCTTTTTCCTACTGCTTTCAATTCGGTGGCGTTTTCTGCGATGCGACTCCATTGGAGTCTCTTTCTGACATCGAACTTCTTT